TTTCTTTCTCTTCCTTTCTTTCCCCCTCCCTTCCTCCCTCAGTCCCTTCCTCCCGCCCTTTCCCCCCCTCTCCCTCCTTCTTTCAGTTTTTTTGTTTGTTTGTTTGTTTTTTGAAGACAGGGTTTTCCTGTGAACCCTGGCTGTCCTGGAATTTACTGTGTAGAACTGGCTGGCCTTGAATTTAAAGAGACCCACCTACCACTGTTTCCTGAGTGCAGGAATTTAAGGTGTGTGCCACCTCACCCAGCAGGGGTTCCCATTTAACCTAAAAGCCTAAAAACTAACCAGCACTGTGCAATGCCAGTGTTTACCTTTCCTTTTACATGACATGCCACTAAACTGACTGGGCAGGTTGAGCTTCAGTCCCCATGCTTAGGCATCCAGGGTAGCTGGAGTTAGGAACCTATGCACCAGGTACAGACCAAATGATCTTATTTCCTTGGCACACATCTTCAATTTTTATGAATTTTTAGGACAGCGTTCCACTGTGTGTTCCAGTTTGGCCTAGTTAGACTCACTAAGCAGCCTGAGCTGGACTTAAACTTGCTAGTAGATGATAATCATTAAATATTGACATTCTTGCCTCAGCCCCAACAGCTGGGATTCTAGGTATGTGACATGTGCCACCATAACTGTTTCCTGATAGATTTTTTTAACTTGGACATCGTGGAGCTCAGTATGGACACTGCTCTGTTACTCCACAGTGTACAAAAAAAGATAATGAACAACACTGAGTACCCCCCCCACAAACATAAAGAGAGAGACAGAGAGTGAGAGAGAGAGACAGAGAGTTACAGGTGATTAAAAACTGCTGAGAGGATGCTGAGCTTGAGTCTGACCTTAGACCACTCTGGCATCCTGACCTAAGAAAGTCATGGGGGTTACGGGACCTGAAATGGCCATTTCTGTAGCTTGGCAAGCTACATGGAGGGATTAGAACAACCCAGCCACACAACTTTCAACCTACAATTTGTCCTGCCTGTAAGATGTGCTGGAGTATAGGAGACACAGAACTTGTGGGAGTGGCCAACCAATGACTGGTCCAGCTAGAGACCCTGACCATAAGAGACAGCCCACCACTGACATTGTTTGGAAGGCCAGGACCCAGAAACTGGACAGCCCAGAGACCTAGCATAGAACCAAACACCACTAGCAATAAAATCAATGACTTGATTCCTAGTGATATTCTGCTACACTCATAAATTGATACCTAGCCAACTGTCATCAGAGAGGCTTCATCTAGCAACTGATAGACAGAGAGGTAGAGAACCAAAACCAAACATTATGCAGACCTCAGGAATCCTGCTGAAGAGAGGAAGAATTGTAGGAGCCAGATGGGTCATGGACATCATGAGAAAACCCTCAGAACCAACTAACCTAGGCCCATAGGAGCTCAGAGAGTCTGGATGGACAGCAAGGGAGGCTACACAGGACTGACCTAGGCCCTCTGCATGTATGTGACAGTTGTGTAGCTTGGTCTTCTTGTGGGATTTAACAGTTGCAGCAGGAGCAATTGACTCTTGCTGGCTTTGTACCCTCATCCTCATACAGGGTTGCCTCAGCCAGCCTTCATCTTGATGGGTATCACTGGGAGACCAACCCTCCACTCAATAGAAATGGAGGAGTAGATGGGGGCTGGGGATAGGCGGAGAGATGGGGAGGAACTGGGAGGAGAGGAAGGAGGGAAAACACAAAATTAGTAAATAAAATATATTGCCGGGGAGTGGTGGTATACGCCTTTAATCCTAACACTCAGGAGGCAGAGGCAGGAGGATCTCTGAGTTGAGACCAGACTAGTCTACAAGATCTAGTTCCAGGCCAACCTCAAAAAAAAACACAGAGAAACCTATCTAGTAACACAAACAAACAAACAAACAAATAAGATATATTAAACAGCTGGGATGAGAACCATCATGGTTACTCAAGAAAAAGCCATAAAAATATACACACATAAAACATAAGATGGACTCAAGATTGGATTTATATATTATTTGCATATGAATAAATCTATAGCAATTAAGGATTAGAGACCAAAAACTTGAAACTGATATTGAATGGAAGGGAGGAAATTATACACAGCAGGGAAATGATGTAATTATATTTTTATTTCAAAGAGTATCTTTGACTGCCGAATGCCTCCATTTTACTACAGTTTATTCTATCTGTGTTCAAACGCCAAAATGTGTGTAATTTTTTCCATTGAAACTTCCCTTTATGGTCTGATTTTTTTCTTTTCTTTTTCTTAAAGATTTATTGATTATGTATACAGTGTTCTGTCAGCATGTATGCTAGTACGTCAGAAAAGAGCAACAGATCTCATTACAGATGGTTGTGAGCCACCATGTGGCTGCTGGAAATTGAACTCAGGACCTCTGGAAGAGTAGCCAGTGCTCTTTAACCTCTGAGCCATCTCTCCAGCCTTTATGGTTTGATTTTTCAAGAATTATTTTAATTTTATTTTTGTATATGTACATGTCTATGTGAGTATATGCTGTGTGTGGTGGGAGGTGGTGTATGCTGGCAGTGGCCAGTGGAGGGCCTAGAATCCTCTAGAGCAAGAAATTACAGGTGGTTTGAGATGCTAGTCATGGGTTCTGGAACCCAAATTCTGATCCTGTGCAAGAGCAGCAAGTACTCTTAGCAACCACACCATCTCTCCAGCCTGGACAGTTACTTCACACAAATACTACCACTTAGGAGACTGGCTAATGCAACCAGAAGGAAATAGACAGGTGGCATAAAATATTGCATCTGAACGGCAGCCCTTGTAGTTATTGGACACAAGAGATCAGTAGATTGCCACTCCTCTGCTGCATCCTGTAAAGAGGGACATCTGGCACTTCACACTCTCTATGTCACCAGATCTCCGGACAATGAACCCCCAGCTCTGCCCCAGGACTGCAGCATAGCATGATCCCCTGAGCCACTGGAACCACTTGAATTCACATTCAGATACAGCTTTCCTCTTTGCCTCTTTTCCTTGGCCCAGCTCTGCAGACCAGCAACCACTTTAGACTGGGTGCCGTCCTCTTGCACAGCTTTGGCACCTGTTTCAATGCTGTCCTTGCTTTAGTAAGGTCCACTCAAGTTCCTGTAGTGTCTTTAGCCCTTTGCTGTTGTGAGTCGGGATGTCACTTACCCTGGTGGCCTCTGACTACAGCCGAGGAAGACCTTGAACTTCACATGCTCCCTCCTCCTCCACGTTTGTGTTTGGATTACAGGCATGAACAACCACAGCTACTGTCATGTGGAGCTGGGGGCAAGGGGTCAAATCCAGGGGATGCTTGATGCATAGGCAAGCACTCAACCAGCTGAGCTATACCCCCAGCTGAGACAGGAGGATGGCTGGAAGTTTTGGAGCAGAATAATCTGCAAAGTGAGTTTCAAACCAATCTGTTTTCTACAACTGAAACCACAGCTCTAAAATATAAACAGCATCACTAACAACCAAGTACCCTTAAATTTTCTAACATTCTGAGGCTTGACTACCAGGTAGAACATTTGGCTTGTATGTAATGCCTTGTCTTGTTCAGTTCCTTGATCTTTAGCCAGGTTCTCTGTGTGTTTTATAGTATGTGTTGAAAGGAGATCAATCAGGGCATGTCCCCTGTAAGCTGGTGACCAAGAATCTCCATGTTCAGGGTTCAGGGCCTCCTATAGAAACTGTAACTAGAGGAGATGAACCAGAGAGACAGGAGGGTGTGACCCTCTCTATGCAGAACTTCATCTCTGGGGCTGTGCTGTACATCACCCAGACATCATAAACTCTGCTGCATATGAAGACTTAAAAGAGTCTAATTGAAAGCCTGGCATGCAGATCCTGCTTACAGAGTCCAGCTGTCTCCGAAAATGCATTGATTCAGAAGAACACAAGACAATCATTGAATAGGTCTAGGATGTGCCCTCCTTCCTAAGAATGGGCTGGTCTGTGAGCACTAACTGTAGATAAAATATAAAACGATTTGCACATCATGAGGTCTTGAGGTCAGTGTGTAACTTCTGATGATATTCAGCATGAGTATAACATCAAGAGAATTATGACTGATCCTGATTTCTAGTAAGGGTTAATTTTAAGATTATGTCTCAAATGGTACTGTCATGGCAATCACATCTTTTCATGTTTTTCTTTCTTTCTACAGTGTACTTGTTACAAAAGCTTATAGGTAATTGCTGTATGGAAGTCAGTCAACAATGGTGGCCAATATTGAAGCAATGGATCTGTATTTTAATAAACACAAAAATAAGAGTTTGGCCCAAAGTTATTTTGGGCCTATCAGATGAGACCCAAAAATATGAGAACACGTATGGGCTAAGTGAATTAAAGATAAAAGATGAAGATTACAATTGAATAGTGAAAATAGTTATCTATTGTAGAAAGGACTTCAAACAGAGAAATTTTGACCACATACAGGAGACTTATATAGTAGTGACCATACAGATTTTAGGATCCATGAAAGATAGAGGCAAGTTATGGTAGCCACATTGATAATCTCAGAAATAAAAAGGTGGAGGCAGAACAAAAGGATTAAGAGTTCAAGGCCAGGAGCTGGAGACAGAGATGCCTCAGGACTGTAGAGCACTTGCTTCTCTTCTAGAGCAGCAAAGTTGGCTTCCAGCAACCAAGTCAGACAACTGATATAGGAATCCTATGCCTCTGGTACTTGTACTAGGGGACATGCAGCTCCTCATCACATAAACATAACTAAAACAATGAAAAGTAAGTTTTGTAAGAGATCAAGGCTAGCAAGTTACAGTTAAATATTCTTTAGGTGACAAAGAAAAAATAAAGATCATAGCGTGGATTAAAACACATCCCATTTCCTTGCCATTGCCTTTTCCTACTGTCATCTTTGATCTTCACCCATTGCAGCCTACTACACTGAGTATCCTGGATTAAACACCTCTGTAACCCAACCTCCTTCATAGGTGTGTCCATACTGTACTTTAAGACCCCTACACAAAGCCCTCTAAGTATCCACCATGAGATGCCAAGTTCCAAAAGTAACACTCCCCTATTTACTGCAAGCAAGAACAAAGCCTGGTCTCCTGCTCATACACACAGCGCTTAGAACATCTACTGCAGACATCTGTAGCAAAGGAGATGCTCTTGGGCTGCCTTATGGCCCTGAGGGTATCCATGAGCACAGGGCAAAATTGTTCAAATCTCTCTATGGAGACCAGACCCAGCTCATAGCACTCCTGAGGGGCAGGGTACTGCTCCATCACCATGTTGCTCAAGTTGGCTGTGTGGTGGAGAAGGTCACTCAAGACATTCATGGAGAAGTCATTGGTATAGAAATTGACCTTTGTGAGCTTGGAGCATTGGCTGAGGGCAGGGAGGAGGACACTGAGCTGAGAGTCCTTTATCCCACACCCCTCCAATTCCAGAGTCTCAAGGGTGTCTGCCACTTTCTGCAGGAGAACCCTGAGAGGCATCAGACAGAAATTGGACAGTAGGACTCCACTCATGTCCAGATGTTTTAGTTGACAGAGATGCTGACATTCGGATAAACGACATAAGTCTAACCGAAACAGCTTGCAGTGAGTGACAGAGAAGGTTTCCAGGTGATTCTTCAGGTTCCTAGGCAGAGACCAAAGGGTTAGTTCTGACAGATGATGCTGGAGAGGGTTGTGGTGGGATTACACAACAGTAGAAGGGGACATGTGTCCCAGTGTCAGTTGGACCACTGTGGGATGGCTCAGTGCACAGCTCTGTAGCACCTTCTCCTCACTGACACAGAATACCTGTGCGGCTGTTATACCCTAGTGCACATAAGGGAAGGACCCACCCATGGACGACCTGACAGTACTTCAGGCAGTTGTCACTGCCCTCTGCTCCCTGTCACCTCCTCTGTGGGGATTCCCAGTCTCCACCCCATATTGACCCTCAAACCCCTATGGGCCATTTCCCATCCTCTCAGCCCCTATTGTTCCAAGCAATTCCTGCATGGGAAATCTTGGTGGCTGTTCACACAAATTGAGCACAGACCCCCTGGGAGCTATGCGGGCTTTCTGATCCTCCACTCTTTGGGTTCCCTCCTTTCTCTGTTCCCTTCCTGTTAGCTTAGCCAGGATCTAAGGGAGAAAGTACAGCATTCTCACTAAATCCGACCAGTGCATCAGCATTTGTGACACACTATGTACACATTTCCTACCCCAAATGAGGTCTCTGATTCATGTCTGGTCATGGGACACCTAGCTTTAGCTTATATAGAAACAAGACCATGCTACGATATTCTAACAACTCCTTTACAATTCATTATCCAAGAACTGGAAGATGTCAGGCCCATAACTCTTTAACATAAAATGCAAAGTTTTGCTCTGATAGTAGAAACAGCTCTCTATCCATCCTTACCTGAGCAAGTGTCTCATGTGGCCACGGAGAAAACAGATGCCATCCATATAGAGATTCAGAAGACCGTTGAGACTGGAAAACTGGGATATGCACATTGGGATTAACCTCTTGTAGTGTGATTTAAAAACAGGGCAAAGCCTGGTCTTGTAGATACACACTAGAGAAAATGTGTGAAGATTTCTCATCTGAACGAAGTCAGGAGAGAGACATGTAAGAGCTCTCCAAGTTTGGTCGATGGTGATTTCCAACACCTCTATTTTCTCTAGCTGCAAAACTTCCTGGAACATCCAGAAATTATCTAGGTTCAATAACACAATCTCCATGTTTAAACAGTGGATCTGTAGGGAGTCTGCTCGTCCATGAGCCCCTGGCAAGAAGTCTGTTTCTTCTTCCTCCTGTGTGAACCTGGAGTAGAGGTCAGTTATCACCTTCACTCGATGCCTCTGCTCATATCTGGGAGGGGGCTTCACTGCTTGCTTCTCACTCACAGTCTCAGCTGAGCAGTCCCCATCTTCTGTCCCAGCCTCTATGGTCCAGACGTCACGGTGCACCCTCCGAAAATCCAGTATTCGAAGATTCCCCCTCCTGTGAGTTAGACAGGTGAAGGGTCACTGAGAGAGGAGACCCCACAGACATTCAGGTCCTTTCCACACACCTCTCATGTCAGCTCTGCCTTTCTCCCATGAGGATTTCTGCAAAGCTTGTTTGTTTTTTCCCAGCACTGAGTGTCCAACAACCTCATGGTCCCTGGCAATGGCTCTCTCTGAGCTGCATCACTAGCCCTCTGCCTTGCTTCCCTGCAATCAGTTACTCTTGACCTGGTACTACTAGTGCCTGTGGGAGAGACAGGGACAGGCTCCTCCCCCTGTGCCCACATCTTCTCTATTCCTCCCCCACACGCAACTGTCCTTCCCCATCAGAGCTCACCAGCAGGCAAGGCTTCTGCAGTCTTCCAGGCTGATGCTACCAAGGCCTCTGATTTCCCTCTGACCCCATTATCTCAACTCTGAATTTGTCTTCTCTGTACCCCAGGTTCCTCCATGTGACCCCGCATGGGTCTTACTTACATAGGGTGATCGTGCTGTCTCAGCAGAGCCCTCAGTCCTTCTATCACAGCCCGAAAGAAATCCCAATTGCAGGTGTCCATCAGCACCGCCACAGGAAAGTAGGAGAAAGGCCAGGCTGCCACCATAGCCCTCACAATCCTCCGGAGTCTGCAACTGAAGGCCTCCTGGAACAGTGGTAGGAAGAACCTCTTGGGCAGGTCTTCCAGAGCAGAGATGGCCAAGGCCTCATCTCTCAACAGCGCCTTCCTTGCCAGCTTCTCCAGTGTGGGTAGGGTCCGGATGCTCATTTTGTTGGGTCCTGGAAATATCTAAGTAAGACATCCAAGGAAATGTCAATTCATATAAGCACAATTCAATCTCCAGAAAGTATGACTTAAAGGTCACAAACTGATGAATTTCAAGAAAAAAAAAATCCTGCCAAACATGGTGCCTCTGGCCTCTGTCATCCCAGGGTGCTGTGGGTGAAGAGCTAGAAGACAAGTAGTTCCAGGCCAGCTGTGGTTCTTGAGACCTGAACACACGCACAGACACGCATGCTTTTTGCTTGTTGAGGAGGCAGAGAAAGGATTTCTGTGATTTGTACCCTGGTCCACATGCCAAATTCCATGCCATTCAGGTCTTCATAATAAATACCAAACTAAATTTCAATTCAGCAGTCTTTCTGTTAACAGCAACAAAGAAAAAACTGAATAATTAATATAACGTCTTTTGTCATTTTAATTTCCAATCCCAGTTCCCCTCCCCCCTCTTCTACTATTCCCCACCTCCACCCTAACCTACTACTCAACCACATCCCAAAGGGGATAAGGCCTGCCTTTTGCAGTGAATGTTGGGATATCAGTTAAGACTGCACCAAACCTATTCCCCCTGAATCAGGCTAGGCAAGGTAACCCCCACCCCTGCCTTAATATAATGGACTTCTAAAAGGCAGTTCATGTGCCTAGGATAAGTCCTCCTCCCCCCGCAGGACCCCCTCAATAGATCAGGAACCATAATCAAAAATTAAGTAATTTTAAGGTGTTTCTCCCTTTAAAATGTTCTAACTCTCCAGAAATTCTGATTTCCCTTTATTATCATCTCCTATTCACTGTAAATTAATAAAATAAAAGAAAGAAAAAACTTAAAGCTAGATGCTTCGCATGTAGGTCAGCTTTTGGAGTGCTGGCCTAGCATTGACCAGGCTCTGGGTTTATCCTCAGCACTGGATAAAGAGGCCACAACGCCTTTCCCTACCAGTCCATAGGAAGTAGCGCCAGAGGGGTCACTTTCAACGTCAGCTAAGATATGTATGGAGTTTATATACTTACCTTGGATATAAGAGTTCATATTTTTATTATTGTTGCTGTTATTTGACAGGGGATCTCTATCCCTCCCTGGCTGTCCTGGAACTCACTATATAGACCAGCCAGGCCTCAAACTCTGACTGCCTTTGGCTCCAAATACTGGGATTAAAGGCGTGTACCACTGTGCCTATAAAGCAGTTTGTTTTAGAAAGTAAAGCCAGTGGTGAGATCCTTTAATTGCCAGCACTAGGGAGGCTGAGACAGGTGGCTCTCTGTGAGTTCAAGGCCAACCTGGTCTACTGAGCCAGTTCCAGGAGAGCTTCCACAGCTAAAGAGCATCCCTGCCTGGATAAAACCATAAGTCAATAAACAAACAAACAGTAAAACCAACTCCTGGGCGTGGTGGCACACACCTTTAATCCTAGGACCTGGGAGGCAGAGGCAGGCAGATGTCTGAGTTCAAGGCCAGCCTGATTTGTACACATAATATTGAGTTCCAGGACAACTGGGACTGTTTCATAGAGAAATCCTGTCTTGAAAAATCAAAAAGACAAAAAGAAAGTAAAACCAGCAAAAGAAGCAAACTCTTATAACTTAAATATCTACCCAGGTTAGGCTACTCAGACAGTTCTGGTACAATCTGGGCAACATGGCAAAACTTGACCCAAAGATTTAAAACAATCACAAGTTAAAAATGAAAAAAGTGGTATTTAAGAGCAAGACAAAGCTGCACTTGGAGTCAAAATCAGCCCCCCATCGCCTCATCTGCAAACAAAAATAAGAACCCCTGTGCCTTTGAGAGTGTCTGGCTGGGTGAGATGTGGAGTCCTGATGGAGAGGCTGACTTACCTCAGCAGCTACTGGGACTGCTTGTCTTCTCCCAGCTGGCCAGGCAGTGGCTCTCTGCTCCTGGACCCTGAGTATCTTCTCTGGCTCCTCTGAAGCTTTTCAGGCTTTTTCCTAACTCCTCCCCTTTGCAGTCTGCCCCACCCACAAGCTGCAATTTGAGTAGATGGTTGAAGCTTCACCATCTTAACTGGTTTTGAGGTTTGGTGTTTCCAGTGTCTGGATTAGGTCATCAGGCAGGAAAGGGAAGGAATTAAGACTAACTGCACAAAACTAAGATTTTTCTACCTTCCTTCCTTCCTTTCTTCTTTTTTTCCCCTTTTGGTGGAATTTGTTTTTAAATAGGGCATTTATGTAGCCCAGGTTGGCCTAGAACTCACGCTGTATCAGAATCCTAGCCTTGACTAATGTATTTCCTCTGCTTCATTTCCTCCTGAGTGCTGGATTGCAGGAGTGAGCCACAAACCCCATTTAATTACAGATGTTATCGAGGCAGAGTGGGACCCAAAGGGAAGGTTTCTTTGGCATCCACAGCAGAGGATTATACATCCAGGCCTGGAAGCCACTAAGTGAGAGCCTGGGGTCCCAGAGTGGGAATGAAATCTGTCCAAGTCATGGTGCCGGAGACGCCATCCTTTTTGATGTTGCTCGATATTCCCTCAGCACTGAGGAAGACCTTACCTCAAGAGGAGTAAATTGCCTGGGCAGATTGACACCTATCTTTATCCTAGCAAACAGAAGGCAGAGGCAGGTAGGCTAGATATCTGTCATTTCAAGACCAGCCTCATCTCAAAAAGTTTTGGGGCAGTTGCTCTTTTATTTAAAAAAGAAAAACAAGGAAGGAAGGAGAAAAAGAGAGAGAGAAAGAAAGAAAGAAAGAAAGAAAGAAAGAAAGAAAAAGAAGACGAGAAAAGAAGACATTAGACCTAGCAGTGTGGCATATGACTTTACACCCAGCACTCAGGAGGTGAAGGGAGATCTCTCTGAGTTTCAGGTCAGCCAGGTCTACATAGAGAAATTTATCTCAAATAATTAATCATTAATAAATTACAATAATATTAAAGGGCTATTAACTTAAACTTAATATGTTAAATCCCATAGGTTAATACCCAAGTGGGGGAAAAACTCCCAAATGAAAAGAAAATGAGAGTGCTGATTAAAAAAAAAAAAAAAAAAAGACAAAACCTTTAAGGCTGTCTGGTTTATTCTAATTAATTTATTGTCTTTGTAAGGGGATTTAATCCAGTACCATAGGTAGACTTATAGGTAGAGACGAAGTACATTGTTGGAAACATTAGTGTGAGATCAGCTCACCAGAGAAGTCTCTGCCATGACTTTCTGGTGGTATCAAGGCTCATCCACTCCAAAAGTTTTATTTCTTTGTCTCTTATGGTGTTAGGTCTAACTGTATCTGTCAGTGACAGGATGTCACTAACACAGAGGGGACGTTTTACCATTGAGATAAAGTGACAAACCAATTAAACAAATTTATAGCACTACATTTGTACATTAAAAAGAAGAGAGTTTCCAAATGATACTCGACCAATGCAACTCAAAAAAATAGGAAATCAAGAATCAACATTAGCTGGAAAGACTCAAAGATCAGAGCCAGGTTCAGTTTAAACCCAAACTAATAAAAAATAGTAGGACAATTAAACAGATGGTCAGTGAGCCTGAAAATGAGAAAAGCCTCCACAGTGTATGGAAATAGAGACTTTACAAATGGACTAGTTAACTGGGAATCACAAGTTAACAACGGCCCCAAGTGAGGCCGTTTTCAAAGAGTCACTTTGACCAAGTGCTACATTTCTTTCCTTGTCCCTTCTCTATGCTCCCATGGCATAATAGTCACCCCCACATCCATACCAGGCTCCCAGGCCTCTGGCGGGAATGTCAAGCTCTCACTGCTCATGATGTCAAGAATGTACACTAACATGTAAGCAAGTGTCATACAAGCTCCTCTGGAGACAAGTCCCTTCCCTTCCCTCCTAACAGTATTGATCACTAGAAGGGGTTTGTGTCTGGAATGGAGCCTGGCTCACACTCTCCCCAGGCAAGGTTACTACCACTAAAGATAAGTAACCAGTGCTCTTTCTTGGCCTTAAACCAGAAACCTCACCAGAAGCAACTTAACAGGGAAAGGGGTTTGTGTGGCCACTGATCCTGAAATGCACTGCAGGCGTGGAATTGTGGGAAAGAAGTGGTGGAAAGAGTGGGCGGGGCCTGCTCATGGAGAGCAAACAGGAAGCAGAAAGATGATGCAGTGCTGTTTGATTTCTCTTAAACTCATTCCTGGCGTGTGGTCCATCAGATGGTGATGGGAGATGCCATTATGTACATATGCTTCTCATACTGGTTAATGAATAAAGCAATGTTGGCCAATAGGAAAGGAAGATAGGAGGGACTAGGAGACAAGGAGGAAATAGGAAGTAGTAAGGAGGAGCCAAGATGGAGAGTTGGGAGAAAGCAGTATGCTGGCTCCCCGGTAAGAGAAATACATAGATCAGCAGAAATGGGTTAATAATTAAGGCAGAGCTAGCCGATAAGAAACAAGTAACCGGGCCAACAGAATTATATCTAATACAGAGTCTCAGTGTGTTATTTGGGGCTGGAGCAGTGGCAGGACCAGACCGCGGCGGGTGGAAAAACTGTACATCTTACAAGATGGTACCTACCACTCCATTCAGTGTGGTTCACCTTCCTGCTCAGTTAGACATTGTTGCAAAATCACCGAGGGCTGGGTCTCATGCAGGTTTCCCATTTGTCAGACCTGAGTCACGAGTTTCTACATTTCCCCCATTATGGTCTGGACTCCATTGTTCATATTATCGCTCTTCCCTCACTTTAATTGTACTCCAGGAGCTGGGCCCATTGATTAGTTGTAGATTTCTGAACCTGCTTCCATCTGTTTCGGGAAGGGGAGGCCTTACCCTTTCTGAGATGCAAATTGGAGGTGGGAAGAAGGGGGGGAGAGCAGGAGAATAGTTGGGAGGGGGATCCGAGATTAGGATGTGAAAAATAAATTAATAATAATAAATAAAAAGGAAACAGGCATAATTTTCTCTCAAAGTCGCTGTGCCAGATTGTATTCTCACTGGTCCCTGGTACAAAGTGTTCTCCTTAGCAGTTGGGAATTCTAGTGTTCCTGACTCTGGGCA